ATTCTGTATAAAAAATTACAAGGATACACTGTTGTCAAATTTAGTTTAGGTTTAGAGAATCATGCCAGAATCGACACCAATATAAATATTATTTTGTTAAAATTCAATCGTCGGACTTGTTTCACAGAACAAAAACCCTGTCAGTACATGTTTTGCATCCGTTATTCATGCCAGACTCGATTTCATTGATTAGATACCTGTCGAAAAAACGACATTAAGTACTATAAGTAGTTTTCGGAACTCTTTAACGGTCCGCGAGTGACTGTCATCCAAGAAATGAATATATGGCGTGACTTATTCGTACACAAAAATATAAATATGTGTGCAGGATTTGGCGGTGTATTGTTTATTTTTTAAGCGTGTCATAAGTACAGTTTATTTTTTTTTCGAATGTATATTGGACTGCCTTTGTGTGCATACTCCTCCCCCGCAAAAAGTAGCAGAATGATTTTAATAGTATTATGGATTATATCCCTACTTCTTTCCGTGTTGCTCTATGAACTATGTCGATGTATCACGACCATAGACACATGCTATACCTATGATCTCGACTTACCGAAATTTCTTAAAATGGTAACACTACAACTCACTTGCGATAAGAATGACATCTCGCTTCACATGGTGGTAATATTTTTTACAGAATGCGAAATTTCCGTAAAGCGATCCGTTGTGCGATGTGAATGCATATCCGCCGCATTCAGTGAGAGCCATAGATACAAAACTATGTCATAGATGAATGATCGGTCTCACTTCAAGCGATATCTATGATTATAACTATGTCTATGATTGCAGCAATTGCTGATTCTGTTTTTCATAAAATGGATTAATTTAATTATTCATTGGTGTCGATTCTGGCATGATTCTCTAAACTTAAACTAAATTTCATCAGAGTATCCTTTTCATTTTGTATAGATAATGACAAGGATACACTATTGTCAAATTAAGGTTTAGGTTTAAAGAATCATCCAAGAATCGATTCTAGTATATATCTATTAAACTTTTAACAGAATGGTACTCCGCGCACTTGGGCATCGTTCGAAACCTACGGCTATGAGTGGAACTTTTTACCAACGTTTAATGTTGACATAAAATCAACGATATTAAATACCCTAGATACAACATCACGAACAAAATCGTGGCTGGAACCTGTCCAAAAGGTAAATTGGACGACGCGGAGCTCCGTAAGATGATCGCGTAGTCAAAAACAATGTAAGGCATTATTTAAACATTCAAAGTTACATTTAATGCAAAGGTCTTTATTAAAACGCATGCGTCAATGAGTTATGATAGTTCAAAATGCAAGCTCGTAAAATTTTACCACTTATTGCTATACGCGTAAGAATAAAGACCATATTTCTTTGACTCTACGCACTGAAGATGCGCTATTAGCAACATAGCAGGTACGGACCGCGAGGAAAAGAGACAACTATAGTACCAATCATGTATTTGAATATCACGTTTTTGAAGTTATACTTCTTTAGGCACGTTATGAAAAAATGATGAGAGTGAAATTTTAAGATGCGCGCGCATCACTGTAACACAAAATTTTAACAGCATGAAGTTGGTCGCTTGAGCGACCAACTTCATGCGTTACTTTTGTGTTTACCGCACATTAAGAAAATCTACCATCAAAATAGAAATAGAATCTCTATTTAGTGGATGCTAACGACTGCATTGTGAAGGCCTATCAAAAGTATTTATTAATCTGGAACAACGGAACCAAAGCGCGATTCAGGAGACTACAGCGCCATCTCTTGACCATTGGTGTAGTAGAACCAAAAACCACATCTTTATTTTTTGTAATAAAGTAACAGTTATAGGTATTCATATTTATAATATTTATCCACATGTTTCTAGTTTGTATATTCGGAATACGTGTTTGAGTTTCATACAAGTGCAAATCACATATGTTCTAATAAATTATATTCAGTAGCGATTTTAATTGAATATTTTGATTATTTATTTATTTTTTCAAATTAAAACTGAACTTTATTGACTGTGTCCTTTTCCAGACTTTTTATTAATTTATTGTAATTAATTATTTGCATGCAATTAAAAACTAATTTTAAACGATGCCAAAGAAGGATAACTTCTCACGCGCCTACATAAGTACACGCACCCATTTTTTTCTATTAAATCAATTTATAGTAAGTATTAGAACATAATTATTTGCTTCAAATGCGTTAAATTTACAAACATTTATTAGATACCTATAAAGGACACTTTACGTACTATAAGTATTTATTATGCATTTTTTCACGGAGCTTTGCGGCATCTTGATTTTCAACAGTCCGCGCGTAACTATGAGTCAAGTAGTGCTAGAGTCGCGTTCAAGCACTTCTTGATTGGGACACATTTTGAGCGCACGTGTTGCATCTAGGGTATTTAATATCGTTGCATAAAAAAGTATGAAACTGATGTCAATTTTGACATTTGTTTCACCTAGAGCGTAGTTTGGAACGCACCCTGGTAAACGAATGCAAATACCCACTAAGGTTTTTGCGCGATTTTATCAAAAGCGGTATTTTTCCATATAGAAATCTCATCTAATATTCCCAAAAGTTCAATGTGGAAATTATATTTGTTAAGAAAATCCACTTCCAAACGTATTGCGGTCATTGTTTAGTTTGTTTTTGGCTCATTTGAAAAACTGTAGAAGAGAGGCGAGATGAAGTAAGTTAAATAAAATGTGGTTTTGATTACTGAAGTTTTAATTTATATTAAAATCATTTCTGTTTTTTGCAGTGGTGTCACAATCGTCGCATCCCTCTGTAGAGCAGCTTAATGTTTTGATCGAGTTCCTGGCAGCTAATAGAGATTTAGCTAAAGGTTTCTCTAAGAACCTCAGTGCCAAATAAACCTATCATGGCTAGCTCCAACAAATGAGGCATCGACATGCAAAACATTGAGATCGGCATCAACAATCTGTAACAAAATATTTACAAAATTTAATTCCAGTCTTTTAATTTATCTTTACATAATCTTATTTATTTATATGTTCATGAATCATGACAAGTTTTAAGAAAGTAACAAATAGATGAAAATCAGTTAAAGGTGTAGGTACTTACTACTTGAAGATTTCTTGCATGCTTACCTTTACGACAATAATACCGTTCTTCATTTTCTTTGGGTCGTATCATGGTGACAAAGATACCATCTATGCAAACAACAACTCCAGGTATTTGAAATTTCTCAAAAAAACTGTAACAAAGGTAAAGAATAGCTCATTTAATATTTACTTTACTAAAGAAACTGCCAATAAAAGTATTTTTTTATGATTTCATTACATAAAATACTTTAAGACACGGGCTCATAGATTTTTTAGAATTCTGATATTGTGCCAGGATTGTAAAAGTTATAAGAAACACTGGTCTACTTGATTTATAATATAATATTTAACTTATTGGTTATTCTAGTTAATCAGAGTTTACTTACTGTTCCTTTAACACTTGGTGTTGATGCATTTCGCAGAAATGTTATATATTTTTACGATGTCTGGATGACTTAAAATTGAGGCAATTTCATTTATACTTCTTGACATTAATATTAAGCACAAGGCAATAGAGTGAGATCTCAAAAAATAGGTGGACATGAGTTTTTGAATTATTAAATAAACAATGAGACCTACATTAAAAATACTTACTTTAAAAGATCTTCTATAAACAAAAATCGTAATTTATTAGCAAAGTTTGTTTGATTGATTGCCATAGCTACACACTAAGTCACTTTGACATAACAATTCGAGTGCGGATCCGAAAGTGAGTGTAAAATTCGTTACAGAATGCCATTAAACTTCAAATCCTTGAGCATATTGTCAAGCTATATCCTGCGTTAGTTCATTTCACCGCCACTCTCGCCTAGTAGCGCTAACGTTGATTCTCACTTGACTACAGAATGCCAATGATAAAATCCGTAACGGATCCGCGTTCGAAAGTGAAATGTGTCTTTACAGAATGCCACTCCAGGTGCCAACAATTTCACTAACTATATCTTGCAAAAATGACTTGTCAAGCCTTACCTCTTGTGGGATTCTGGAGTTGTGGGCACTTGCGCATTTTATACATAAGTATGGCGTAAGTTTGAACTAATGTAAAATTTTGTATCTTCGTATCTACTATGCTGCTTTTTTTTACCTTTCCAGTATTGTTTAAAGCAGAGGCTACTAGTAATGTCGTCAGTAGATATTAAGATACAATTTTATGTTTAGGAGCATGAATGTTTGTCTTCTTAGATGTGAAATTGATGTTTAGTGTTATTTATGCTAAGTTTTAGAAATGCTGGATACTATTACGCGGCATGTTAACTAGCATTAAACATTAAGGACGACCCACACCAAAGTTCTTAAATTAAATTTGAAAAGCCTTATGGTGCTATTACATTTGGTCGTTAGCCCGAACAGAGTGGCAATGGAATTCGGGTAGTGTAAATTTACGGAGTCGAGTTTGCCCGTATTCGGGTAGATTTCCTTTTGTTCACCCGTAACCGTCTTCCAGCCCGTAATCCAGTGTAAATATAGCTTCGGGTGCCCGAATTCGAGTAATTTCTTTCGTGCACCCCGGCTACGGGCTAACGACCAAACGTAATTGCGCTATTATTTCATCTCTTTCTGACTTAACCAATTGACAAAGATGTGATGAGTTGCTAAACAAGATTATATCTGAACTTGATTAAAGAATATCGGTGCATTAGGAGTATTATCAAAAATTTCAACACATTAGATGCAAATACTGTATTCCAAGAATCCATAATGAAAGCAGTGTATGTGCGATACATTTTCATTAACTGTATCGTTGTAATAAAACAAAAAAGCACATATATTGTTACTGATTACGCTTCACTGAAGGATTAATTAATTATTAATCTAAGATCTTCAACCAAGTTCAAGAATATTAGTTACCTCTTTGGATAGATTATATTCCAATACAATTAGAATTTTCGTTAGCAAACAATATCGTAACTGAATTTTGTTGTTATTGACATTGATATCTTTCTTGTTACAGCGGCCCAGATTCCTCAGAGAGGCAGTAAGTATTTTTTAACGTAAATCTTTTAATTGTTCCACGTTCTTCAGGTAGCAGAAAAGCCGAAAGCCTAAGAAATACTAAATAATATCGACACGGTCATTATGGTCGCGGTAGCATAATTGATGAGTGCATTCGCCCGGGTAGCGGAGGGTGCAGATTCGAGTTCCGACTGCTGTCTGGACCACGGGTTTTTTTTCTAGGAAGATTTTCTTTAGATTTTAACAACTAACAGTTCCATACAAAAAAAAACACTATCAATAAATTTGTTAAGGTCTTATCTTTCAATTCGTCGTTGAGTTACATTTAAAAAGTTTTGAACCTACTTGGTGAACATTTTCATTAGCTTTCGTTTCATTGTCAATAGTTTCTCTAAAGTTTTGCTGTTGTCTTTCCAGGTTGCAAGCGCAAGGAGGACATGGGTTCGGATACTCTGCCTTCCCCGAAGAAACCTCGTTTGGTTTTCACAGACCTCCAGCGGCGTACTCTACAGGCTATTTTTAAGGTATTTATTATATTTTCACCTGATTCTTCATTAATGTTTTGAGGTGTTTTAAAGAACTAGTTCTCTTGAAAATTGAGATTTTATGTACGTTTATGTGTTGTTAGCTATTGCTGTTAACAGTGTCCACGATCTAGTATTTTATATTGATAAATAATCTAGAATTGTATACATTACAGACCCTAAATCATAATTCAATGATAATGACTTGAAAGTTTTACAATTTTAATATTAAAATTTAACAATTCATTTTGAGATATTTTTTAAATCTAATTTCCCTATGACCATGATTGAGATGCTAGTCTTAAAATTATATAAATGCGTATTTTTTATCATCTTCACTATCGTTTAATCAATGGACTTAAGAAAGAACAAACTTGCAAACCTAAAATTTACCATTTGCAGGAAACAAAACGACCATCCAAAGAAATGCAGGTGACGATAGCGAGGCAATTGGGCTTGGAGCCCACTACAGTCGGCAACTTCTTCATGAACGCGAGGAGACGGTCCATGGACAAGTGGAAAGATGACGACGCGCCGTCTTCGGAACTGGACCAGCAGTTAGACGGTCAGGATTTGGACCACGTTCCAAGTCTAGATTCTGCAGAGTCTGAGGATGAGCACGACGATCAGGACGATCATCTCTTGTGACGCCGCATACCGCAGCATCACCTCATAGTGCTATGAAAATAACTCGCGGTTGTCAACGGATGTGCTTGGTGGCTTGGGGGTCGCATTGATATGTACCTTTGTGTTTCGTAGATAGGGTTTCAGAATGGACAGCAGAGCTAAGATAACTTTTGACTCTTAATTTACACATTTCCTTACTTACAGAAAAATGATAATTTTGATTGTGTTAATTGTAAACCAGTCATCAATCTATTATCAAGAAACATTTTTTAAACTTTTGTCATTATACTTTCATTCGTCAGATTTGATGTTGACGAATTCACACTCGTGTTTGTATTAAAATCAGCTTCCTTCAATACTGGACATAGTAACGTAATGTTTATGTGGGTCCCAAGCTGCCTCGCTTAAATTAACATTCGGCCATTTACCAGACAACTTCTGAGTAATAAAATGTACAGTAATAATATAAATAATTATAAGTGCTCGGTTATGTTTGCGAATAAGGCTGGCTGTATCTTAACTTAGGATGAATTTGCCATAAAAATCTTGTAGCATCATTTTTATATCATCTATTTCTTTCGTGCTAAGGTTGTCGCAAAGCTTAGTATTACTGTTTTCTATTTTAGTATCACCATTATCTGGATTATCTTGTATGTGAATTTTAAAGTCCTAAGCGTTATCTTCAGTTACTATATTTATGGCATTTTCATATTTAAGTTGAGAGTTTAAGGTTCAATGCGTTGATCTCTCAATATCGAACGTCTCTAGTCAGATGATAAGAAATAGTTAATAATTTTATTGTAACTGTTCTGTAAGTTTAGAAAGTTTAAATTATTTTACTTCTCATTTTAGTGGTAGCACTTGAGAATATTTTTGGGGTTCTTTCGTAAATAATTTATTTGTAGATGAATAGAAATGCCATGTATCAATCTGATACATTCTTCAGTAGAAAAAAAACCTGGAAAATCTTCAAGTGCTGTGTCAGCTTGTATAGAAATTAGCTGAGAGACAGAAACGTGTTTTTGTAGCTGACTGAAAGAATATTGAATAGAAGTTATACAATCAAAGTGTATTGTAAGCGTCGTCATTAAAATATGTAAAAGAATAAACGGAAATTATTATAGACAAATTACCGAAGACACTAGCGGAAATGTCCGATCAAATCGGATAATTCGTGTATCTGTACAGTCAAAAAGAAAAGTAGTTTATTTGAAATAAAAGAAATGTTTTCAATAATAATGACTTTAAAAAAAATTACACTTTATAAAACAATATTAAGTGTGCTTTCGATTTCAAATTTGCTTTTTTAATTTTTGACTGTGCGATATGCTGCGTTGATGTTAGATAGTTCAACAAGAGATGTTGTTATATCCATTGCATTTGTTCCAACGGAAAAATGCTTATAAATAATTTTAATTGACACAAACAACAACTATATATGAACATTCTTAGCCATTAATAGTGTACAATTATTTATGTTGCAATAATTGTCTATTTTACCAAGTCTGATTCTGGTCCAACCAGATTATCATTAACATTCCAAAAATTAAGATAATTATTTTATAGTTATTCTGAGTATGATCTGATCAGAGGTTTTTTCTAATTTATGTGAATGATTTTATGAACCGATATATCTCTTCTAAAAATTGCTACAAGAAAGTAATATCACTTTTCAAATTCTCGCTGAATATTGTTTTATATTATTGGCTATATAAGCTGCATGATGAAATTGGTGTAACAAAGTAATTTCCACGCTCTTATGATACATATCTTATGTTAAACAATAATTAATCGGAAATGGTGACTCAAAGTATTCTGTATTTCTGTCCAGCTTGCACATTATTCCTGACACAATATGTGATAGAATATCGTGCATCATTATTTTCAATTGGTTCCTTAAAAGACGCTAATAATAAGTTGATACCTACCCATTGCTCAGATGGCTAGTTCTCAAGATTAATTATTAATATATAAAGAGAAGGAGCACTAAAATTGAGTTATTATAGTATTCCATCGCTTTTATGTAAACAGTATTTGTGCGGAATACTAGAAGCGCCATCTGTTGGCTGCGACACATAACTAATAAGTAATGAAACAGTTGCGGTAGATTTTCCATTAGTTTGGAAGACAAAAACATTTGGTATAATTTTAAAAGTCATTAACAACTTATTATCGTTTATTTGTTCCTTTTTAATCAAATTGAGGCTCTGCACTGTATAGTTAACGTTGACTTTCGATATATCGTGAACTTCATAATCGTTCATCCTACATATTATGCATTCGATTCGAGTTGGCCGCTCCCACCCTCCCCACCTCACCGATACGCGCTTCTAGTCAAACTATTCTAGCTAACTAACTTCTAGTATAACTATTAATCGACCCTATTGGTCGACGGTACCTGTTGATGTGCCTATGATTGGCCTTTGATGTCATATTGTAACGGTCATCGACGGTCAACTCAAAACGAACGGGTAATACATAATTTTTAACGTCGTGGAGTAGGATAACAATGAAGTTTTGCGATACATCGAATGTTGATTTGAGAAATACCTTAGAACAAGAACTAAAGCGTAGCAGTACTCCAAATGCTATGACGTTTGAGCGTACAGATTTCTTAACAAAGTATGACCCGGGTAAAAAGTATTAGTAGGGTGTTGGCAGGTTGCATTTGACATTAGATCGCTTTTTGATTCGGTATCGTAAAGGTAGCAAAGGTATCCACATTCCACAATGATCCAATTTGACGCTTGTATAGTGTTACGCAAGCTGTTCATAGCAACATATATTTCTACCTTTTTTGGTCTATATATATAAAAATGAGATAAATATATGAGTCAATTATATGATTTGAATTTAAACTCTTTCTCAGCCTTAGTTCTTGTTCTAAGAGAACTTATACTCTCTGTGTTATTAGCAAAATTTAGCTTATGTACGGCCGCGTACAAAGATTTGTGACTACATTTAACTGATGATTGTGTGACTTGGTCGCTGAAGTATAAACATTCCTTTTAGTTTATAATGAAACCGTCACAAAAACGGGTGACGTATTTAAAAAAAAATCCCAATCTAGTCCGAGGATCTCACGTCTCAAGTTGGTTTAATATCGTAGGTAGCAAATACCTACCGCGTGATATTATACCCTATGCTGTCACTTCACTTGGTTATTCGTTTTTGCTATTTGTAAAGTTGACAACAGGCTGTCTCTATCATGCTTTATAAGGAATGAAAGGGACAGACTAATGTCAAGCTTACAAATACCAAACTCGAATAGCCAGGTTAAGTGCCAGCATTAACTTTGTAATATTAAGTCGTATTAGTTGTACTATTTATTTAGTAATTTCAGTGTTTAAGGGAGTTGGTTGATCTAGTCCAAGAAATGAGGGATGTAGCTAATTCAATGCAAAGATTGCATTCATTTGCGTTTATTGTAAATCGCTATTTTCATTACGCAGACTTTGAAAGATTTGCGATTGGTTATTAATTGATACAGTTCTGAAGATGTGGTGTATAATAGTCAACGTTAAAAATCACGATGCATTTGTATTATTTTAAATTGATTCTGCGTGTTTAAAAATTATCACTGAAAATAAAGATTAGACTTGACTTAGGTCCACTAGCAGTAATTTTGCTAAATCTCAATTTGACTAAAACTATACTTAGCGGTTTATTTTCTATTGTTTAAGTTGCATCGAGTAAATTTGCAATTTTGCTGCAAGTGGACTTATAAAAGTAAATTTTACTTTCGAGTCGAATTTCGACTATCACATCTCTAGAATAGAGATGCTACAATTACATGTTTAGTTGCACAGTATTTTTAACGAAATGAATGATGAACTTTTAAACATTACAAAACATTTAATTTAGCTTGTTACCAACTTATTATATAATGATAAATGTTTATATGTTGGCCATATAATATTTATTCTGTTTTTTTTAATAGTAAGTATATAAGTCATTAATAAGTTATCTTATGTTTAGTTTTTCATACTTATTTAATACGAATCGAATGCTAGTCCATATTTAAGTCACCAAAGAGTATAGACGTGTGCAATTTTCTTGTGTTTAATATTATAAGTTATCATTAGATTGTTCAAAGGTTTTATCTCGTATAGGTGGGTTTACGTCCATTCGTTGTATACATGATTCATAATTGCTGTGTCTGTAAATTCATTTATGAGTAAAGCATTTCTACTTACTACAATTCAAATGAAACATCTTTTTACTGCATTTTTGTAATGAATAAATGAAAACTCACACTCCTTCATTATTTTGATCTTAATCTATGTTAGCATTATATAGAAAAAAAAAAATTATGTATATTTATATTTGCCCTACTTATATAAAATATAGTTTGCAATAAAATAAAATTTACGTACCAACTAAAGTTTATAGCAAACGTATTTGAGTTTAATTCAGTGCACCGTTTTGTTTATAACGAAAATTTTGGACATCATTTCATTTTAATAATTATAAGCAATTTGCGCACAATAAAATGAAACAGATAAAAATTATTAATAAATATAAACTGATCTGCAGCACTTCTCCCAATGACTGTACTTTTGAATAATTGACAGCTGTAGGTAAAACATATTGTTGTGTATTATTTTTGTGTATGTATAGGCGCTTTCGAATGTACATAGTACTTGAATATGTTAAATGTAAGATTAAATGTACATTTTACAAAGAATATGGTGGTGTCATTTACTAGTTCATAGTAACCATAGCCTTTTTTTAATTGTTTTTATATATTTCTTTTAATTCGTGAAGCATCCATGACATTAGCATTCAAAGACTTCATTATCATCATCATAAGTTTTTAATCTGCATAAAGGGAAAAATATAATTTAAAAAAATGCTATACACCTATTTTTAATTATTTCTATTAGGCTTAGAAATAATTAAAAGAAATAATAATAAGCCTAAAAGAAATAACTAAAAACAGGTGTATAGGATTTTTTTAAATTATATTCCTTCCTCTATTCATAGCAGATTCAAAACTTATGATGATGATAATGAATGATGGATGAACGATGTTCTAGTACTTGTTCAGTCTTTGAATTCTAATGTCATGGATTCTTTGAAGCAAATTGTATCTAGTAGAGTCTGTGCGGAAAGAGAATGGTCGTGGTGAAAAACGGAACTAACATTAAGATTTTTATTTGGCAATCAAACCCAGCGATCTGTAAAACGTCATAGTATTGTATTGATACGGATTTGTTTGTTGTTGTGATTTCTTGCGGTTTTTTGTATTTAATCATGTCTAAAAGGGGTAAAACCTTACAAATACGGTAGAAAAGCACTACAGCGCCCTCCAATCTAAATCCCATTCTCTTTCTGCACAGACTCTACCGTTGGTACGAACCAATATCGAATTCGAATAGTTGAATTGGAAAATTTCGATGCCTGTCAAATGTCAATAAGTTTTGGATTGCTTTTTTTTAAAGTTTTGTATAAAAAAAATCTTGAATGTCAAAAGTCAAAATATCGTTATTCAAATTGGATGCACAATACAACTCTTTTGAATCGTCTATATTTTTTTCCTCACCACCAGTTAAGGACATTTTTAGCTGTGGAGAAAAACTGGTGAAAAAAAATTCGTAGCGTTAAATGATTATGTAACAATATATTATTAAATATTATATTGTTACGGTGTCAATAAAAAATCATATCATCTTCTTCATAATTATAGAAAAAGCCTGCCGAAACGTTTGGAACAGTTTAAACCCATCATCACTACCATCATTTTTGTCTGAAACATAATCAGACACCTTATAATAGGATCTATTATTAAGAACTCTTTTAAAGGTAGCTTTAAAATTTATGACGCTTAATGTTTGGATTTTGCAAGGGACTTTATAGTAGAAGCGTACACAAAGATCATTAAATGAATTATTGATTTTGTGGAGCCTTGTTATTGGTAAAGCTAATGAATTTAAATTTGTAGAACTAAGCGAGTATTTATCACTATTTATGGGAAATAGTGTAATATTTCGAATATACATTAAATTTTCATTAATGTACTGGGAAACAACAGACATTATATCGATTTCTTTAAATTTTTCTCTTAAAGAGTCTCTAGTATTAAGATTGTTAATTGATCGAACAACTCGCTTTAGCAGCACAAAAATAGGTTGGAATGTCGGCAGCCATCCGCACCGTAAAATACCGTAGCAGCAAAATACCGTACGACATCACACTATGAAAATATACTAATCGAGCAGTGTCAGTTAATTGGCGTATCTTCATTACTGCGTAGGCTGCAGAGCTAAGTCTCTTCGACAATTTCTCAATATGTGGGCGCCACTGAAGCTTTGAATCTAGTGTAATGCCTAAGTATACTGTAGTGTTCACAAGGTCCATATTCTTATCTTTGATAGTTACACTAGTTTGTGTCTGCTTTACATTGGGTAGTAAAAAAATAGTTTTACCTTCATTAACAAGTAAATTATTAGCGTTAAACAAGTGGACTACTAAAGAGATGACATTGTTTACATCATCAATCAATGGTTGAATTAGTTTAATTTTAAATAAAAGTAAAGAATCATCTGCAAACAATACTATCTCATGAGTATCCCTTACAAAATAAGGTAGGTCATTTATACAAAGTAAAAACAAGAAAGGACCAAGAATCGAGCCCAGAGGAGCACACATCATTACTAACTATCCGGGAGACCTTTTGCCATTGATGTCAACTCTCTGGATCCTATCGCTCAAATAAAGACACAATGCAATCCAAAGTGTTACCTTTAAATCCATAGTGGTGTTTTTTTCTGATTAATGTTTCATGAACAACGCTATCAAAGGCCTTGGATAAATCACAGAAGACACCTAAAGAATCACGTGACTCCTCCCAGGAATCAAAAATATGTTGTAAGAGCTCAACACCAGCGTCGGTTGTAGAGCGACCCCTTGTAAAACCAAATTGTTTTGAATCAAGGTACTCATTTTTATAGTAATAAGACTGCGTTTAGTCTGACATTTTTTTTTCAAATATCTTAGTAAAAGTGGGTAGCATGGATATAGGTCTAAAGTTTGTGGGGTCAGATGTACTACCGGATTATATATTGGAGTTATTTTGTTGTGTTTCATGAGATCAGCAAAAACAACACAGTTAATACACAGGTTAAATAAGCTTAGATTGGAGCTACTGTTTTAACCATTGATTTAGAGATATCAACGGAATTACCCCACAGATCAGAGGTTTTCTTTTTATTTAATTGGTCAAAGACTATTTCACATCATTACAATTGACATTTGTTGGTTCATGCTAAGGGTACAGTATCCAGACTCCCCGTGTTCCAAAAGGAATGCTAAATCAAAGATCTCGATTTAAATATTTACAGGCTAATGATGAAAGTCTTCAATATTAAGAAATGCTGTAAAAATATTCTTTCACGGTAAGAATTACATATCCTAATATATATAATATATAATTATAAAACATTCCTTTGATTTATAATAACATAAAAGCTAGTCAAAAAGCAAAAACTTATTCAATCGTTATATGAAAATGAAATTCTGTCTATGACTTCGTCTCATGCTACGTTATTAATTGGAGCCTTGCTACGATACCAAATGTTCGTGCTACGGAACTTCGTAGCAATAAAATAGAAGCTATTGGTATTGGCAAACTTTTTGAGTAAAACCACACAAATTAACTTGCGCAGAGCGTTTTTGTATATAAAATTGAGTTCCTTAACTCTGTGCAGTAGCAATTTTACATTGCAATGACCATAGACAAGGGTCATTGCTCAAATAGTTTGCTGCGATGATTACATGAATACTTTGAGGTAAGCACTGCGAATTTATCACAGACTATTTTTAATCCCCGCTTATTAAATATTTATTTTGCTACAGTACTTGTAGTCACGATTGATTGGGGTTGGTATTGCTGTGTAAATTAAACTGCTAACTGCAAAAGTTAGTAACAATTTAATTACAATCAATCAAGCAATACATATTAAGCAGTTACTTAATTTTTTAAAGAAGCTTTCAGTAAAACCAGGACCCGGAATGGTATAATTTCATGAACATCAACTGGGAGTAAATAATCAAAGCCTAAATAAACCTATTAATGTTTCCGCTGTAGTGCTAATAATGTGCTAATAATGTTACGTCAAAAAGAGCAGCACTTGAATTTATGCTGAACGATAGATCTTTACACCAAACGAAAGAATTAGACCCGTGGCTGGCAAAAAATAAATAAAAAAAGGACATTTATTTTGCATAGGTACAAAATGAATTTGGGGATATACAGCGGTACATCCCGAAATTCAGTAAAATGCCTTCATGTATAGGCCTAAAGCCTGTGGATAAAACGAAGATGTTGCCAGAGTTACTCCGGCCAGAACAGCTCCGTTAGTAACGCCCCAGGGCCTTCACATGCGGCGCCTGTTTTGCGTGAGGAGGGTGTGTTGCCGGAGTCGCTCCAGCCAAAACAGCTCCGTTAGTAACGCCTTCAGGGCCTTCACCTGGTGCCTGTTTTGCATGAGGAGGGTGTGTAAATTCTGGTTGTGGTGGGATGTTCAATTTAAAGGCTGAAGTATATTCATATAACTTTAATATAGCAAACAGCGAAAAAGCCAATTAACAAGGTTTAAAAAATACTTGTATAAATACAGAGACAAAACCATACCGCAATTCACGATGAATTAGCGCCATCTATGACCGGCGTTATTAACTAATTTTATCCTAATATCTAATCTTATCCGAAACAGAACCATATCGTATATTTCAACATGCATCAACGCCATCTATGAGAGATATTATAAAGTAATTTAATATTTAAGTTTGTGTTTATTTTATCTTTTACATTAATATTTATTCCTTATTATATTACCTACTATAGTTACAAAACTTAAACATGCCGCCCACCAAGGACATAATGCAGAAATGTCCTTAAAAAGGGAGAATAGATACATCATTAGCATATGAATTGCACCTCTTATTTTTAAGGTGTATAGAGGGACTCATGTTTACATGCAAAAAACAAAAATATAAAAAAAATGTTTTTTTTTTTTTTACAAACTAAATATCAATATCGTAAAAACAAAGATGGATTTAACGCTTATATATGTACTATAAAAATAATATTATTAAGATATTGGAAGTACACATAGTTTAGAAATGGGTCTTTTAATCAATGTGTTTTTAGTCCGGATTGTGACAGCAACCATTTGCCGGGCGGCAAATCATCTTCTTTTACTAATACTATAGTACCTACATCTGGTTCCGGTTTTAGATGAGACCATTTGCGACGTTGTAGAAACTGGTTCAAATAATCTTGAGACCAACGTCGCCAAAAATCTTGTAGCATTTTTTGGGAGATTTGCCACCGCTTTAAACAACTTATATTCGATTTTTCTAAATTGGCATCAGGCACCGAAACAAGTGCTTCTCCCACTAAAAAATGGCCAGGGGTTAAAATTGTCTGGTCATCAGAACCCTCGATATACGAGAGCGGCCTGGAATTCAAACAAGCCTCAATCTGAGCTAGAACGGTAGTCATCTCTTCAAACGTCAGCGTAGAGTTACCGACTACTCTTCGCAGATGAAATTTAGTCGATTTTATTCCGGCCTCCCAGAGGCCTCCGAAATTTGGAGCATGTGGAGGAATAAAGTTCCACTGTGTTCCTTCATTTGAGAGACATTCAGCGAGCTCTAGACTAAACTTTGACTTCT